ATTTTTTGAATAACTTTTGTCGGAAATGAGATGGAGACCTGCGGTTTACGCTGTTCAATAGCCAAAACTTGAACGGAACTGACATGCTCGGGGAAAGCGTGTTCTGTCCGAACGGCGATAGAGCGAGATTCGGGACTTGCATCATTTTGTAAAGTAACGTTCGGACTATGTACGCATGCAAAAAAATTACTAACATTGTGTGTTAGTTTTCTGAGCACGGAGCTAGTTTTTCAAAGATCCTCTGGAAACTCGATCTTTGAAATTTTTTCAAAAGTTGTTTTCGGTTGCGAAACGTTTCGCTCAACTCTTCGCTATTGAACAGCGTAAACCGCAGGTCTCTATCTCGTTTCCGACAAAAGTTATTAAAAAAATACCCACCCGCACTGTATTTTGGGATGGATAGTAGTTTAAAGTACAAGAGTTGTACACGATACTGATCTATGTTTTAGAAAAAGATCCCTTTTAGACTTTGAGAAAAAAATAGATCAGTATCCTGTACAACTCCTGTACAAAATAGATCAGTCAACCTTGGTCCACTGCTACTGGTTGCGCGGCAATGATTAAAAGCATAGATACCACCATGCCTTGATATGTAACACGGCGAAGAAGAGTTCAGTAATACTTACGCGACATGATAATGGGTCGAACCGGTAGAAAAAGTGCAACCGTTTGTGCTTCAGCATTAGCCGGTGCTTCCGATACATTAGCTGCGCGTAATTCACAATTGCACAAAATGAAAAATGACAAACATACATAGACAATAGCGTTCATCTTGTTTTTGTAACTATCCTAAACTTTGCATACGCTGATAGAATCGACTTTTTCTTCTATTCTTTTCAGCAAGAACAGAAAGTAACAAATGTGTTATATATATTCCATGTAAAAATCGCTATGAAATATTTCTTCCTACACTATTATCATCATCATTGTACTTCAACAAAAGATTTTTACACACATTAGCTATATTTAAAGATGAAAAAGAAAATGAATATGAAATGAACCTAAAATGTACCTGCACGCAGATGTGATAGAATGATAACAGAAAAATCACTCTGGGAAGCGAGTTTAAAAGAGAAGATTGATCATACACATCTTAGATTGAAAGAACGCAATTTATTTTCTGATAACGCAGAGACCTTGAACTACTGAAAAAAGACCCACATTTGAGTCATTGCGCTAGAGGAAGAATAGCTCAGCAGCTTACGTTTCTTCTTTTGTCGTTCGGTGAAAATAGTGAAAATAGATTATTTCCTCTAGTATAGATTTTCACGATTTTTTCTTAAGATTTTTCGTAAAACAAACATTGTCATGAGAGATTCAGCGTGGTCGATAACCTATGTTTCCGTGCGTTTTCAAATTTCTAAATATCAAGAAAATCCTGTTCTAAGGTGTCTTAGGAAAAGTCCTCGCCTGTCCGAACGGTCGTAGATGGCGTTATTGGGTTTTTAGCAGATATGTATAATAGATGTCGCTCTACATTAGGCGTATTTGCAAACACTAGACTTGTATAAAAAGTTAGTGAGCGGCAATCATGCCTTTGGAATATCGATCAGGTACACCATGGTGGATCTCATGGGTAGAATTGAGTTATGCATAGAAAGATGCTGTATGTCCGGGCTACAAGACACTGGAAGCCGCAGGTCTTCATCTTGTTCTGTTAAACAGTTTCTAAAAATACGATCGCTACTATTTATTTGGACAGATAATCGCAGTGGTCATTAATTTTGTAAAATGCCGACCTCAAGAATGAAGAATATTCTGGTGTTTTCTTTTTCTTTCTTTTTTTTATGGTTATCATCACATGAAATTCGATTTTTTTGTTGTTAAAGCAAAGGAGAACAAATAGACAATAATTATACAAGATAGAGAGGATATAAATGAAATGTTTGATTGCTTTTATAAATGCCGGTCCGAAGTGAATGAGATATCAATATATCAAACATAGAACAGGTGGGAGATGAGTTAACTCCTCGTTAGTGGGAATGCCACAGTTAACAACATTCATTGAAACTATTCTTGTACTTCACCTACCACCGACAATTGTTTAATTGCGAAAAATTCTTTCTGAAGATTCCAGTGTTGCATTAGCTAATCAATCAATTTACAGTTGAACTTTTTATATAAAAGAACGAAATATTAGAATTTTACTTAATTTTTCGTCTTGAAGTCTAATTTTCGCATCTAGAGTCGTGTTCCCGATCGAAGGAACGAAAGTTAGCAAATCGGGAATTTCTTAAAATCGTGAAAGTCGTGCCTGGAAATAGCTCTTCTGCTCTAGAATAGTGATTGGGCTAGGATCACAACACGATTCTAAGAGTTCTGACCGTCGTGACATCGCGGCAAAACCACGATCGCGTCTTATTTGATCACTCTTATCGTGATCGTCGGACACAACGTTTTGACGTGAGTCCTTAGCATTAAAGTTGTCATGAGACGATATGCCATGTTGCAGTGCCGCTAGGCACTGTCGATATATACTAAAACTTTTCTTTAAAATAATACCGCACTGATAAAAATTGGCGCTACACTGGAAGTAGGACAGCAAATAGCATTTATTTAGTTTATATTGATTAGAGTGTGGCAGTAATGGGTATCAATATCACATTATTCAGGAGTAATCATACACTGTCTCGGCACCTGTCTTCTGAGTAAGAAAATATGTACTTATAAAGGCATTCGGAATATTACAAGTATACTATGATGCTTTTATAGACAGATGTTGACGAAATAAAACAGTAATTTATTAAAATAGCACACTATTATTAAATGATATGAAAAATAGTTGAAATTGTCTATCATCCTTTCATGTCCATATAATGTCTGGGACCATGCCTTCCTTCGTTGTCGCCGATGGCATATAATTTTCGTCATGACGAAAATACAAAGGAATGTCCACAACTAAGCCTCTGATTTCTTTCAATCGTGCATGAGCCTAGAATCAATTAACATTTTTTTTACATGAAATACATATGTAAAAATATCACATTCTTACTCTCTCCGGATCGGTATCAACAAGTTTTGGTGCAGTCCTATAGTTTTCATCTTTGATCAAATCTCGGATGCGATCACTTGGTACCGTTGCAAATACCTGAAAAAGAAAAACACAGGATATATCTGTTTTGTCAACCAACATCGAACCAATTGAATCTTCAATAAACTATCATAAATATTGAAACATTTATGTATCTTTCAATTTTTTTACAAGATTCTTTTCATCGATTTACAAAAGAGTAATGATCTGTACACGTACCTCCTCGTAGATAAGTGTGTTCTTATGCGCTGTTTCACGAAAGAATGTATAAAATTTATCTGATACAGGATCAGTAATATCAATATTTTCCGGATTTTCATGTTGAATACCTAACAGCATGCTTTAAAAATAAAGCATATGAAAGATTTTGATAATCCTTTAACTATAAAAATCATTTTACCCAAATAATTTTTTTCTCCAACTCGAACAAAATTTTCCACATTCAACTGGTTGTCCGTTCATTATACCTTGCTCGAAATCAATATCCTGAATAACAATGGCTATTTCGCTATCTCGTGTACCAACCAATGATCGATCGTTAATATTGGCAGAACCACATATACACCAGAGATCATCAATAATCATCAGTTTTGAATGAACATAAATGATTTCCGTAACCTGTAAAAAGAAACGTGCGGTATCAGAGGACACATTTATAATGCCGTGACAAGAATGTTACGACAGCACATGGGATTTGCTCCAAAAAGTGTAATATCAATACCTGTCTTATAGTAGAACACATTAAATAGTGCCTTAGTACAAAACACGTTTGTTGTGCCCTACAATGTGTTTCCGATGTCCTCTATACCTCAACGCATTTTAATATCCTCTGTTACAATGACATTTAAAATGGACGATGTTATCTGTTTACTCATCCAGAGCCGTAAATTGCGGGTAGATGGGTGGGTGTGTATACCTGTACCAAAAATAAAAATTTATCGTTTCCTCCTAGTGAAATTAAAAACTTTTTTCGCATTTTTTGCTCAAGCGACGAAATGTTTTTCGTATCCCCGGCCCAAAAATATTTTCGATGCGTGAAGGATTAAAATTTTTTAGAGCGAAACTTATTAATTGAATTAAGAAAAACTAAACACTAGGTATTTTTTTGCTTTCGTTTTCTCAGACATGAGTTAGAATAAACTGGATATATGCTGAACACATTATACATATATCCCTCCGGACGGCCGTATAATGTGCAAAAATAATTGTGCCTTATATATTGCAAAACAATGTTGCGCCTGTGAGAACACTTTTCTTTTATAGTGTATCAACACAAAAAATTCAGTGTTGTTGTCAACGAAGATACGATGTGAGACAGAGTTGAGCAGATTGTTTCTCCAGTCAGTTGCCTATAAACATACCAGTTTTCCCATGAGAATATCGTTGCCACGCATTCCATAAAATGTTATATAATCGTCTACTTTAACACCTGTATAAATAAAGTATTAAATTAGTCTAATAAACGTCGTTGTCTAAACTTCCTTACCCGCCCGTTCTAATCTACTACACAGAGAGTTCTCTCCTTTTGATATCGATCTCATTGTAAAATACAATACCGCTTCGACAGCCTTTTGAGTAGAGAAGCCAGGCAATAATGGTAATACAACATAAACACGAAATTTCTCTTTATTTCTAAAAATAAAGTGTGTGCTTTTCTATTAAGGCATGCGTAATTCAAAATTGGAGCACTATTTTTATTACGTCCTATTTATACATCATTCGACAGAGCTGATCAAGAATAACTAGATTTTAGTTCGGAACAGACGATTTATCACGGTAAAAATTTGAAAATACTGGAAGGATCTTAAAGTTCGTAAAACCGTTTTAGTAAGAAAACTTTGAATATTTTGGTTCAGCTCCATTCTGACGCTACCAAACTTACTTTTTCCTATTCAGTGTATAAAACTAAGCCTCGACATGGCCAATAAAAATTTCAGAGTTGAGGATCCCTTGAAGAGCGTCAACTTATTTCATAAAGCTATCTAGTTTTCTCTGGCGAAAGATAGAGCCACATTTCGATGAATACTATTCGATTCGCCTTTTCACGGGTAACAAAAGTACGTATCGCTTTTGTAAAAATTCCTTTTCATTGCTGAGAAAAGTCATTTTTTCTAACTCACAGGCAAAAAAGTCAGAATCCTAATTTGGAATTTTCTCCATTAGAATTCAACTTTTATGCAATAAAAGTATCATATTCTGAATCATGATCAAAAACTGAGTTGATTAATGTGTATTTCGAAATTTTTGGTTGGTTTTCAGTTTTGGGTGAAAATCTCAGTAATTTTTCAACGCGAAATTTAGAAAAATTAAAGTAGTCAGGTAGTATAGAAATGTACATTAGTCGACTCAGCTGTTGATCGTGATTCAGAATATGATACTTTTATT